CTGGAGCACAAACTGGGTGTCATCAGGACGCTACAACACAGAGCGAACACCATCCCCACTGACACAGCAGCCAGGGAGGCATCCATCCATTTTCTGCTGTTTAACCAGGGCTGGGTCATGCAGTCAGCAGTTAAGGCAGAGAAGCCCAGACCTCCCTCTTCCTGGCCATTTCCTACTGGAAGCACACCAGACGATTTACTCTATCTAGTGTGTCCTGTGTCTGCTCTGGAGCCTCTTCCCTTTGGGACATGCTGAGGACACCTCAGCTTGGAGATACTCAGGAGAAATCCTGATAATATGCCCAAACCGCCTCACCGGCTCCTAGTGATGCCCATGAGTAGCAGCTCAACTATGAGCCCCTCATGCTGTCAGCCCAGCCATGGTTTTTGTGAGTTTTCTGGTTATTTTATGAGACTGTTTAGTTCTTGGCTTTCTACTGTCAGTGTAGGGCTTTAGTCTCATTATTGTTTCTATGATGTTGTTTCTATGATGAGCTCACAGCAACTTGAAAAAACACACACACAGGATAAGAGAGAAGAGAAGAGAGAAACGAAAAGTTCAATACCTGCTTTATTTACACAGCACCATTCTGTCATGACAGCATTACACAATGTACAAAAAGAGCCGTGTTGTTTCCAAATACAATTAGACTGAAGGAACCAAATTGATTCAGAGTTGTCGACTACAAGAGGGCAGTGAGCTGCTACAAATGCCTTGACCAGTGTTGTCTGCAGGTGGAACCTTTGGCCTGACTTGGTGGAGAGGAGAACAAAGATGAAGGGGGGGGTGAAAGAAGTCCAGGCCCTTGTAGCAGAGGACAGGCGCACCTGAAGTGTGAGGTGCATGAGTTCACAATTTACAGCAACTTCTTGGAAAAGCAAGATATTCTGGTAAGAGAAAGAGAGGAACAAAAAGCAAAATACCTCTGCTTTGTTTGCACAGCACCATTGTGCAATGAACAGGTGCAAAAATAGCCGTGTTGTTTACCTGAAGACCATTTGACTGAAGAAACAAAACTATTAAATGTCTGAGAACTCACATGTCTTTAGCTTTACATTTTCAAGCACATGGAGAACATCCAAACTACACAGATGGACTCTGCAGAGCTAATA